GTAATTTAATCCATTAATTTTTTTTAAAACAATTAGATATAAATTAAAATTCACATAAATATCTAAATTATTTTTTAAAAAAGTTTATTTAATTTATAAAATAGGCAAGATATAGAGTTATACTTACGGTTAAAATTTCAAAATAAAATATAAAAAAAACTTTTAAAAGAAAAAGAAAAAAAAATACATACATATATACATACATATATATATATATATATTTATTTGTAATTATAATTATAATTATAAGACTAAATTAATAAAAATGCCAATAAATTTTATATTTTGAATGGGTAAAAAGTGTCACTAATTTAATAAAAATTTAAAAATATATTTACCATTAATTTTAAATAAAATAAATTAGTATTTTATTTAAAAAATTCTGTAGTTACTAAGCCGTGAATTGATCCTTTGTTGACAAACACGTCACCTGAATCCCCACACGTAGGAAACGCACGTGTGCAGTAATCAAAATTCTCAACGGCTAGTAATTATATAAAACGGCTACTTTTTATGGCTCTTCAGAACCATCATCGGTTTTCTTTCTCGCCGTTTCAAATCACTTCTCTCTGTGCATATTCGAACCAGAAGAAACCCATGCAAGATCGCAAGAAGTAAAACACAAAAATCCTCAAAATAAAATTTGTTTTTCTTGGCTATTTTTCCTCAGGAAAATTGGCTTGAGATTGTGAGGGGTTTTACACCCATGTGGACGAACAGTGGCAAGAACAACTTCCCCGGCAGGGGATTTTCAACCCCTCCTCCGTCGTGGAGATCGAGGCCGTTCCGATCACCGAAAACGGCGCCGTTCTTAGATAGGAAAAGATCGTCTCCGAATTCCGCGAATAAATCTGATCTTTTTCATGTCATTCACAAAATTCCTGCCGGGGACTCTCCTTATGTTAAGGCCAAACAAGTTCAGGTTGGTTACTGAATTCTGTTCTGGTTCTTGAATTGAAGATTGTTGGTTCTGTTTTATGATCCATTTCTTTCTTGCTTGCTTCATGATGTTCTTGTGTATCTTTTTTGTGGTGATGTACCCAATTAATGTTGGGTTTTTAAGACAGAATTAATCAGAAATGAATTGTAAACTAGTTGTTAGTTTAAGAAGGTGGATCATCCGAGGATTGTTGGGAGGGAGTCTCGGGTTGGCTAATTTTCATACCATTGTGGAGAGTTGTGATTCCTAAAATGGTATTAGAGTCGTGCTCTTAACTTAGTCATGTCAATTGAATACTCAAATGTCGAACAAAGAAGTTGTGAGCCTCGAAGGAGTAAGTCAAAAGTGACTCAAGTGTTGAGCAAGGGGTATACTTTGTTCGAGGAGTCTAGAGAAGGGGTCGAGCCTTGATTAAGGGGGGCTATTCAAGGGCTCCATAGGCCTTAGGGGAGGCTTTATAGAGAGAAGTAATCGAGTCTCGATTAAGAGGAGGCTGTTCGAGGGCTCCATAGGCCTCAAGGGAGGCTCTATAGAGAGAAGGAATCGAGCCTCGATTAAGAGGAGGTTGTTCGAGGACTCCATAGGCATTAGGGGAGGCTATATAGAGAGAAGAAGTCGGGCCTCGATTAAGGAGAGGCTGTTTGAGGGCTCCATAGGCCTGAGAAGAGGCTCTATAATAACTTTGTTCAAGGGGAGGATGGTTGGGAGCGAGTCCTACATTGACTAATTTAGGGAATCATCGTGGGTTTACAAGTAAGGAATATTTCTCCATTGGTATGAGACCTTTTGGGGAAGTCCAAAGAAAATTCACGAGAGTTTATGCTCAAAGTAGACAATATCATACCATTGTGGAGAGTCGTTATTTCTAAGAGTGGATTGATTGAACCGATTAAGAACCAATCAGTTTCTAAATGATTAGTGATTAGAATGAATTCTGAGTACTGATTTTCAGTGATCTTGAAGTGATGAAAACCTAAATCTCTAGCATTTCTTCTTCTGAAGTTGATAGACAAAGATCCGAGTAGGGCTGTGTCTTTGTTTTGGGCTGCAATAAATGCTGGGGATCGTGTGGACAGTGCTCTAAAAGACATGGCTGTAGTAATGAAGCAGCTCGACCGTTCCGATGAAGCGATCGAAGCGATACGATCGTTTCGCCATCTCTGCTCTTATGATTCTCAGGAGTCCATTGACAATGTCTTGATTGAGTTATACAAGGTCAGTAAGATCTTCTTTTCTTGTTTTGATGAATGAAATTTGTTGAAACCATTGTTCAAGAAGCAATGCTAACAGATCTTTGAAGTTGTCATTTCTTGCAGCGATCTGGAAGAATCGAAGAAGAGATCGATATGCTTCGATGCAAACTGAAACAGATCGAAGACGGCACGGTTTTCGGAGGGAAGAAGACGAAGGCCGCGAGATCTCAAGGGAAGAAAGTGCAAATTACTGTTGAACAAGAGAAATCAAGGTAGCTATTGAATTTGTTTTCTTAATTGATACGATATCGGTCTTACCACGGACTCTTTTCCGACTCAGAGTTCTTGGAAACTTGGCTTGGGCTTTCTTGCAGCAGGACAACGTCGACGTCGCTGAAGAGTATTACCGGTGAGTCGGTTTCGTATCGGTTTCGTATTAGACATTGTCATGTTCTTTAGCAACCAAGGCATCATAAGTTCATATGTTCTTAAGAATGTAAGTTTTGTGGTTATAGGAAAGCTTTGTGTCTCGAGACTGATAATAACAAACAATGCAATCTTGCTATCTGTCTGATCCTTATGAATCGGCTATCGGAAGCGAAGTCGATGCTTCAGTCGATACGAGCTTCTTCTGGTGGCACGGCCATGGAAGAGTCGTATGCCAAATCGTTTGAACGCGCATCTCATATGTTAGCTGAAAAAGAATCGAAGTTGTTCAATTCATCAGAGCAGGAAGAAGGTAATAGTACAGCAACTGTTACAGCTGGGACTTGTGTTCCTCAGCTCACTGCATCCACGAGGTGGACTCGTGTTGACGAAGAGATCTACGTAAATGAAAATAGTCGGGACGATCATCACTGGAACCGACATGAGAACGAGTCATTTCGATGGAGTGAAGATTGTTTTAGTGAAAATCTAGGAAAAAGTAGCTCCTGCATTTCCATCAAAATGAAGGAAAACCGAAACCAAAACCGAAACCGAAACCGAGACCGGGACCAAGATGGTTTATTGAGATTAGTAGATGAGGGTGTGAATTGCTGCTCATTGTATTCATCCCCGACTCGAGCAAAACGAAACGTTGAAGTTCCATTCACTCAAGCGAAGAATTCCTTATGGGAATTCAATAATCGATGTCAACTGAACGAAACGAGGCAGCGAAAAAGAACCAGTTCGAGTAGTAGGAAAGTTTTGTTTGATCCAGATCAAAGTTTTGACAATGGCTTTGCTGTAGATGCTTCTTCTGAATCTGAACGAAGCGGACCGACCTCGAATTACATGTCGAAGTATAGGTCTGCAGCTTCTGATGCAGTTGAACTAGAGGTTCCGTTCACGCAACCGAGGAGTTGTTCGTGGGGAATAAACGGAGGAGATCGTCAGCAAAAGACGTCGGAATGCTTCAGAAGTTTGCTCTGCAGTAGTTCTACTAGAAAACTTTCATTTGAGCCTCACACAAGCACTGAAAATACTCAAGCATTGACATGTTCAAGCTTTGGAAGATCTGAACTTTCAAGAGCAGTGAGTGATGAAGACGTCGAGTACGAAGAACGTGCAATGCCATACGACTCGATGAAGATACAGAAAGAACACAAACCCAATTCATCAGCAGTTGGTGGGAAGAAGAGTTGGGCAGATATGGTCGAAGAAGAGGAAGAAGAGGACGACGGTGACAACGAGAAGGAAGACGATACAGAAGAAACGTCCTCAAGCGAACGAGCTCGAGTCAACTGCTTTAACGATTGGGGAAGCAGCAGTGACAATGAGGAGTTGAAGTTCAATGATGAAAATCTAAATTCCAACATACTCCACCAGAAGAACCACAGTCCTCCAAGCAGCAATCATGTTGAAGATGGAGCTGAAGACTCGGGCGACGTCGTTTCGTCGAGAAATCCAGCAGTACGACGGCCTTTGTGCTTCGACCAACAGCCGACGCTCGAGTCAGCTGATAACCGACGCTCGTCCCCGCTGCCAAAGAAAGATTTGACAACCGAGGATGGAGAGAATGTGAACTTGATAAGGAGAAACAGATTGCAGATATTCCAAGAGATAACAGTGCATCAAGAGCTAAGCTAGAACGTTAAGAAACAGACATGTTTTGTTCTTCAGTTCCTTTTTTTGTATGTTCTTCCATATCTCACATATATCCATATATTGTAAAGAAGTTTGTAAAGGATGCTTGTTATTATACCAATACAAATTATACCCTATACTTTATTTGTCCATTTCATAACATTCGAACGAGCATAAGAACGATCATCCCTAAACCATATGGTTTTCTACTGAATTAGCTCACAAGAAAAAATCGGTCACTTCATGCATATTCGAGAGTGTGATTACGATTTTCTCCCTTGTCACCTCAACCGCTAATGCAAGCATTCTTAGTAGATGTGGGTAGCGGTACTCGGTGGACAGTCTATCCATCCTTAAGTGATACTACCAACCAAATTGATAGGTGCCTGTTTTTTTATAATTAAATGATATGTTTAATGGTCAAACTCTGTATTTAATAAATTTTGAATTAAAAAAATTTGTAATTTTCTATAATTTTTTTTAAAAATATTTAAGGCTTAAAATTATAATTTTTTAAAATTTATGAATAAAATAGGCGCAGTTAAGAGTATATATAGTCCACCTTTAATTTTATAATAAATATAATAAAGTATTTATGTGTAAATTATTTAAATTATATATTTCTAGGAGAATATGTTTGTTTGTTAAGAATTAAAATCTAGCAATTTATTTTATTAAAAAAGGATTTCGAGATTTTTGGGAAAAAAAAAAGAAAAATTTAAATTATACCGTACTTAAATAAATCCTTTTATAAAAATAAAAATTCAAATAAAAATTATTCTTAATTTTTTTTTAAAAAAATTAGTCTCTTTCTTCTCTCACCGGCACCGAATCATTTTGGGGCACAGAATCTTTTTCAATTGTCGTCGGCTCCGCTGCCTCCAGCCGGTGCTCGCCGCCACACCCTCCGATAAAGTGAATCTCCAGTGGTAATCCTTGAAATCATACTTTGGTTGAGTTATTTTTTTCGTTTTCACTTTTGTTAGCGCTGGTTACAGTGTTCGAAATTTAGATTGACCATTGAATTTCAAATGTTTTCTGGATGAATTTCACTGATTTATAAAGCCACACTCTGATTAATCTGATTGAAGGTGATTATGGACAATCAGATTATAAGCTTGAATTGGAGATGTAATTGCTTGGTTCAACAATGTAGGACGCGGAAGTTACGCACTTTGAGTGTTCCGAAGGCTGCTTCTTTTCGTACTTCTTATTCTACCGGAGGTATGGTTCTGTATTTTTTGTCTGTGCTTTCCGAATCCTTGTGTGTGAATTTGGTGAATTCTTACTTCATGAGGCTTAGAGCAAATGCTGTAGAAGTTCGTATTTATTGCATTTTATGAACAACAAATTGAAAATGGCTTTTGAGGATGCTGGTTTGTCAAATTCGATATATTACTTAAATTTTGGATCGTGGGATGAGGATACCATGGTCGTCATGCTAAACAAGTTCTCTCTTTGGTCTAGACCGTCCTCCTTAATGTGGGTGTTTAGAGCTCGTCGAGTAACCAAAGATATATGTGTAGGGTCCTCTTCACTAAACTCCTCGCTCTCATCAGTTTCCTCATTTATGTCGTCATGTGCCTCGTCATCCGTAACAATTTCTCCTTCCTTGATGGTCATAATTCTTGCATTTGGGTAATCTCTACTATAGTGTCCTACCCCTTGACATCTCCAACACTTTAAATCCCTATTTCGAACATTAGACTTTTCTACTCTTTCTTTCCCTGTTCTAGAACTCTCCCCTTTCTCAAATTTAGCTCGAGGCTTCTCATTAATCTCTTGATTTCTATGCTTATAATCAATGTTCTTACTATCCTTTTTCCATGTAGTAGTAGAATTGGGAAAAGTTTTAGAAGAATACCGTTGAGACCTTCGTTGGATTTGCCTCTCGATCTTAATTGCAATATGCAACAACTCCTCAATATTAGAATAAGGCTGTAAATCAGTCTTGTCTGCAATCTCTGTGTTTAACCCATTAAAAAACCGCGCCATGAGAGCCTCCATGTCCTCATCGAGTTCAAGTCGATCCATCAATGTATCCATCTCCTTGTAATAATCCTCCACAGATTTGCGTCCTTGTTTCAATGCTTGAAGCTTTTGCGCCATGTCCCGTTGAAAATATTGTGGAACAAAACGCTTCCTCATGGACTCTTTGAACTCGACCCATGAATCAATTGGTGCTTCAAGATTTCTTCTCCTACTTGACATCAATTTATCCCACCAAATTTGAGCATATTGTTTGAATTGAGCAATGCATAACAGTACCTTCTTTTCATCACTAAAATTATGACAGTTGAACACCGACTCCACCGTTTTCTCCCATTGAAGGTACTCCTCTGGATCGGTTTTGCCATAAAACTTGGGAAGTTTTAATTTGATGCTCCCCACGTTACGATCAATTCTATCATCATAAGGAACTCGTTGTTGTAAATTATGATACCTTCTTCCATGGTCTCTCCCTCGCATCAAGCCATGACCAACCGCATGTGGATTATCCTCGTGGTGATCAGAATTGTTGCCCTCATATGTATCGGTTGAGGGCGTAGGTTGTGGAATCCTCTGTCGTGCTTGATTTTGAATCTCCAATCTTCCTATTCGATCAATCAACTCTTCTATTCCTCGAATTAGTCTTTCCATGGTTCGTTGTTGTGCTTCTCTCAATCGTGCATCAGTAATGTTCGTATTGTCGTCTGGATTTTCCATGCTACAAAAGAAAGGTAAAAAAAAAAAAAAAAAGACCTCACAAGCGCTCCCTCACATGTATTCACTCGTAAATGTAGTTCACTCGTGTTTAGCATTCAACACTCGAATCAATGTGTCACTCCCTCACAAACTCACCCTCACAATTGAGCACACACAAATCACACTCCAAAAAAAACAAATTGGGATGTGAGACAAGCTATGTTATAGAGCTAAGTGCAATTCAAAGTGAATAGACAGCACACTCAACACATAAACAAGGGTATTGAAGGAGCAATCCGAATAACGACAAAAAAACGAATTAAAGAAAGAAAATGATTAAGGACTAATTGAGACGTAGTAACATATGAGAGTTACATATAATAATCAAGAGGAAAAAAGAAAGACATTTAACATCAATATGCTTTCTTTCTTTCAATGGTTTTATTTTATTTTATTTTTTTTATTGGCAAAATCTAATCAATTTACCAAAATTGATTTAGAAGATCTTAAAGAAGAATAAAGTGTTGAAAAGATCCAGATCTAACACTTCAAAGAACATAAAAAAAAATGTATTTTTTTTTTGTTATATATTTTTGTGATAGAATATGAACATTCTACACAAACTGAGAAAAAAATAATAATAAGAGAATTAAAAGAGATAAGCGCAATGAAACATATATCCGATCTTGAGCCTAAAGCTCTGATACCAAAATGATACGGAAATCAACCCAAGGGAAAGTATGGAACGGATTACCTTGATGATCAAGATCAAGAGTAAAGAAAACTCGTTTCTAAACTCGTGATTCGAATCACTCCACAAGAGGTTTGATCAATACCACTTGAATGACTCTACATGCAAGTTCTAAACCCAAGAATTTGCAAAGAAAGTTTAGCTCTCAACAAAGCTAAAATAGAACTTCTATTCTTAATTCCAAAATCTGATGTCTAATCAAAGAAAAGAAGGCTTTATATAGCCTTTACAACCTTAACCTATGTCATACATAACTCCCAAATTGAATGGGCTAGTAAATGAGAAATACCCATAACCTCCATATTAAAATGGCTAATTAATGGTGGAATATAGTAACCTATGTGGGTTACAATATAACTTTAACTCCTATATTTAAAACTAGCTTAAATATGACAACAAATAGTTAAACTATAATTAAATAATGCAAATAATAAAATGTGCTTATTAGTCATCCTTGGACTATTTGATAAATTCAGCGGAGTTCATTAAATGCAACTTAAAGTGCATTTAATTCATCTCTGTCTTGAAGCTCAACTTTGCATAACATATAAGGGAGGTCTCCAACGTCTTCTAGAATTTCCTTTGATGAGCTCACCATAGCTTGAATATAACTGTATAAGGTTTGTTGTAGCTTCTTGGCTCTCGTCCTTGTAATTGGACCTTGAGGTATGGAAATTCCTTGGTCGTGGTTCATATCAAATATTGTCTAGAATTTAACTTCTTAAGAAGAGCGATGCGCAGTAAATAGTTTTCTTTTCCGAGCATTATATTTTTAGAGAAAATTATCGAAGGTTGCATAGTTTTCTTTTGTTATTTATTTATTTTGTTCGAGATTGTAGTTTGCTAACCAAAAGCAAATTCTGATTGTAGTTTAATGGACTTGGTATAAAAAAATTTCTTCATATCTTCCTGCTTGCAACATTTTATTGTTCACTCTATATGGTATTTTGCATCTATCAGGAATTTTGGGCAAAGACATGAAGTGTTCAATGAAGTCTTACAAGTTATCTGAACTTAATCAGGATGCTGTCACTAGTCTAAAGGCCCGTCCTCGTATCGATTTTTCTTCAATATTTGGTGTGGTGAGTTTTATTCACAGTTATCTATAACTTTATAGTCTAGTTTCTGTTTAAAACGTCTGATCTTAAAACTATGTTTAGGTCCAGCCCATTGTTGATGATGTTCGAAAAAGAGGTGATGTTGCAGTTAGAGAGTAGGTGGTTCTTTGTTTTTTCCCCCATCATATTTATACTATATTTCACTGAATCATTTAATTTATGTGTAAGCATAACTTCTCGCTAAATTTTCATATTATGCAGCTATACTTCAAAGTTTGACAAAGTTGAACTCAACGAGATCGTTGTTGGTGTCTCTGACCTGCCAGAGCCAGAGGTAATCTTGAATAATCCTCCACATATTTGACATATTATGCATTTACTCTGGGAAATGAATTTATGATTATTATTTTCTTTTGGAGTTGAATAGTTAAACTGGACTTTTTGTGTTTTATCTTTTCATATTGATAATTGGCATTTGTAATTTTTGCTTTCACACAGCTTGATGCAGCTGTCAAAGAAGCATTTGATATAGCTTATGACAATATATATGCATTTCATGCTGCCCAGATATCGGCTGAGAAAAATGTTGAAAATATGCCTGTAAGTTTGCATCTTAATTTGTAATCTTATTAACTATACGAGCTTATAATCTATGTATAAGTTTCTTACACAAATATTTTAGGGGGTTAAATGCAAACGTGTGGCAAGAAGCATTGCTTCTGTTGGTCTCTATGTTCCTGGGGGAACTGCTGTTCTACCTTCAACGGCTTTGATGCTCTCTATTGTAAGTCACTAGTACCATAGAATAAGTTGCTAAGGATGATCATGTACAGTTCTACTTTTTATCATGTTTACCTGATAGGAATGAGAACTAGGGAATCACGCTCATTTTCAATTATTCATATCTTCATTGATTACTGAACTTCTAATAAAATGTGGAATGATTTCTAATTTTTGCTTCACTCCAAAATTGAGAGTCACTCCATTTATCCTGAAGTTAAGGAATGCTACGCCCATATTCGTGAATCTCTTGACCTTTTTCCATCACATTTTGTTTTCGGCTCCACACTAGTTTAAACATGATTTATATAGTGTATCAATGAACAATATCAATTATTACACAAATTCTTGTTCTCGTTTCCATATATTTCATTTTGATGTATCTTCATACTCATTCCTCATTAATAAATGTGCCCTTAATGTATGAGTTACCAGATGCATCCTTTGACATTTTTTTTATTGGCATCAGCCTGCCCAGATTGCTCGTTGTGGTACTGTTGTTCTTGCAACACCTCCCAGTCAGGATGGCAGCATATGCAAGGTATCGGCTCTACCCTTACATGCTGCAAGTTTTTCCTTTTTCGGGATAAAAAACACATACTAGCAACACATGAGGCATATTTCTCTTAAATTATCACATGTAAAGGAACTGACTGATGTCAATTTCTTTAGGAGGTGCTCTATTGTGCGAAGAAGGCTGGTGTGACTCACATTCTTAAGGCAGGAGGAGCTCAGGTGTGTATACAACTTTTTCTACTTATGGATGTACACTGGATAGATAGATGGAGTTCGGTTTTGTTGATATTAGTTGTCAAAAACAAATATTTCCACAACTGCTGGACCCTTTTTGATTTGTAGGCTATCTCTGCTATGGCTTGGGGGACAGAATCTTGCCCTAAGGTAAATACCTTTTTGGATTTTGTGTCACTCTTACGTTTATTTACTGTGTAGTGTTCGAAGGTTTCTCAGAGCTTTCTGAAGATTGATGTCAATTTTGTCCGTAATTCTTGAATGTGAATATCCTATATCTAATATCATGTATCAATGTGCGAGAACTTCTGTGGATGGATTGCAACAATTTCAAGCAAGTAATAGGATCTTTAAACCTTGAAAATTTGAAACATGGGGTAATAATTCCTTGTGTAGATGTGGTCTTATTGTAATGCATATTAAAAGAAATGCACTATATTTGGCTAATCAATCCATTTTTTTATTGATTAATTATGATATGTTTTTGTCAACATGCATTCAAATTATATGTTAATATGCAGTAGATATGCATACATTTTATGACAATATACTTTGATCGAGCTTCCTTTGGAGTTGATTACTTCTTTGGTTACAGGTGGAGAAAATTTTTGGCCCTGGTAATCAATATGTAACAGCCGCCAAAATGATTCTTCAAGTATGATTTTTTTTTTCAGTTTCTGTGTCTTGAAATTTACTTGTATGGGAGATGTGAAAAACATCTGCTAATATTGTAGTTTCTTATTCATGGGAATTAACATTCAAAATGGAGGTTTCCCTTATTTGATCCTTTTCATGCAATTATGGTCAAAGCTAGAGGTCAAAATTTCCCATGAGACCGAGCCCATGGGGACCTGCCTCAAGTGCGGCTGGATATCCTATTTTTTAGCAAAGATGAGAAATTCTTTTCCATTTTTAATTATGGGGATGGGGATTGGGAATGCGTTCTCCCATCCTTTTACCCGATCTCGATCCTATCTCCTGAAATAATACCATGTGTGTGTGTATATATATAGATATAGATATATATCCCTCCCTCCCTCCCTCCCCACCCCACCGATAAAAAAAAGTAAATAAAAGGCCAAACAACCAAAGTCCAAAACTAGACTGGGAATAAAATATTTGACCTGAAAAAAGAAAATAAAAAGGGCAACAATCAATAAAATGGAGAAATTTTATAGGAATCCTGCCCTAATCCCCCACATTGTAGGGACAGGCAACAATTTGAGGAGCGTGGACGGGGATGAGGAAGCATTCTCCGTCCAGGCTCCACCCTATTGACACCCCTAGTGAATCATATCATGTACACACTACACCCCTGGTCATATTCATATCAAGTCACGGAATTACTGATTTTCTTTTGGAACATATAGCGAAGTGCATGTATAGGTAAAATAAAGTACATGCACATACATTAAAATAGAATGATTTTAACAACAGAGTTAAAAGGAAGCTTTTTGGATCCAAGTATGAGACAAATATTTTAAGGCAATTCGAATTAAGATGGAATATAATAATATTGGCTTCTGCACTGAAATTATTATTTTAGATTTGACTTGACTTGAAAAAAAAATGAAAAGGTAAAATCTCATTTGACAGAATAGTGAAGCGATGATCTCAATTGACATGCCTGCGGGCCCTTCAGAAGTTCTGGTTATTGCTGATAGATATGCCAGCCCAGTTCATATAGCAGCAGATCTGCTTTCCCAGGTGATTTCCATAGCGACGACATTCCTTAATTGTTGTTAAATTTCTGTGGTTATATAGGATAGGAGCAAAATCCTTCTATATTGTACTTCACATCTGGACAACGGTTTATGTGAAAGAAACTTTTCTTATTCTCGTGTTGCATGCAATTGATGAGTTAGTTAGGTCCCTTTTATATCATCCCTGGTTATGGTTGAGATATTTTTGCATAACTCAGTGATTTCTGTCACATTCGTTTCTTTCTGTATTTGGTTGACGATTATCTACACCTAACATCTCAGCTGATACTATGCAGGCGGAGCATGGCCCTGACAGTCAGGTAGTTCTTGTAATTGCTGGTGATGGTGTGGATCTTAAAGCTATTGAAGAAGAACTCAGTAAACAATGTAAAAGTCTTCCAAGGGGAGAGTTTGCTTCAAAAGCCCTGAGCCATAGTTTTACTGTGTTTGCTCGTGATATGGTTGAGGTTTGTTCTCTTGGATAAATGGCTTGAGATGTATCTGCATAAAGGAAATGCTAATGCAAACTGGAGGTTTTGGTTAATCATGGAAACTAAAATGACTTAAATTTATGAAAATTCAAATTCATTTTAAGCAAGTAAAAATAAATCAGTCAAGGTGTGGCCAAAAACATATTGTTATCAAGTTGATTTTTAGCATTACTTTTGACTGCTATTAATATATCGTGGAAATCTGTAGCCGTATAAGGACAAAGCCTCGACTTGTTTTTTTTTTTTTTTTTTTTTTTTTTTTTT